CCCCCCCCAACCCCCATTTACCATATCAGTGCATGAGTATTCTATGGACAGACAGACAAAGGGCTTGTTTTGCAGTTGAAAGTGCTTCAAAGAATGGCACGTACTCAAGATATTCATCTGTACAATAATAGATAGCATTTGTATAGCGCAAATCCCCGCTCAACAGCAAGCTCTGTGCACTTCACAATCTTTTCTATTACCCCAGCAGACCTGAAAGCATTCTGAAACAACCTCAACTTCCTGGGAAGCATACAGGTCAAACTGCCATTTAGGCGCTACAACACTAACATACTGACAAGATCTGTCACTGTCTATAGCTGGGTACCCATTCCCACCTGGGTGAAGTGAGGAAAATTTGTGTGTAAAGTGCCTTTCACAAGGACACAACGTCGGGCCCGCGGCTCGAACCCCCGAACCCACAACCTCACGATTACGAGTCCGGTAGCCTAACCACTAGACCACCGACGCCACGAACAACCGCTCCATCCGTACTCCTCACTCACCCTTGCACTTTCCTCTGTATTATTGCTGTGGTGTGGTTTGCGTCTTCTTTTCTCTCAAACATAAATTTACATCGTCCGTTATCTCTCCTTTTTTGTGTATGTTGCTCTCTTGTAACACCTCTAATCTTCAGCACTTACATGACCTTATTGTGTTGAAAGTGCCATAAAACTCCTTCTAAGTGGGTGGTTGGCAGGTGTTCTTGTGTGGTTTGCTCCTTCTTTCCTATCAAACATCTATCGTCCTTATATCTCCTTCTTCTTTTTTCGGTTTGTTACTCTCTTGTAACACTTCTAATCTTCGGCACTTATTTGACCTTATTGTGTTGCAAGTGCTGTAAAACTCTTATTAAACTTTGAAAAAAAACCTCTTTCTGAAACAAGTATAATGACCCTGTCCAAGAAGACCCCCTGTCTAAGAAGACCATGTTTCTCATCTTTTGTTTCTGTCTTTGTGTGTGTGTCAGCTCTGAAGAGCCTCCGAGGTACAGCTGATGTCAAGGATGATATAGAGGAGATGAGGAAAGAAGCCCGCACTCAGGAGAGGGAGGAAAAGGTATTCTCTCTCTCTCTCTCTCTCTCTCTCTCTCTCTCTCTATCTCTCTCTCTCTATCTCTCTCTCTCTGTCTTTCCCTTCTTTCTCTCTCTCTCTCTATCTCTCTTTCCCTCTCATACTCTTTCTCTCTCTCACTCTCTGTGTGGCTGAGTGTGTTTGTGTGTGTGTGAGGAGGGGGATGTGTGTGTGTGT